CTTTGTCTTTCTGTACCAGGAGTGCAATTAAGGGGCCAATGTGCAGGAGCCCATTTAAGGATATTTTTCTTAAGGTTTCTTCTACATGCTTTAAGCATGTAGATGATAGAGTTGGAACTGAGTGTAAAGAAGATTCAAACTTATGGGAATTGCATATGCCTACTTGGGGAGAAAATCTGGCCCACTGAAGCAGACATTTTTCAATTCTTCTGTGTTTCTATTTTATTGAAAAGTTCATTGATAATTACCAGAAAAGTTGGGTGAAAAAAAATAATTGTTGTGTTCTGAAGCTTTAAATACATTTATTTTTATCCAAGCAAAAGATTTTGCAGAATCCAGGCAAATAACTGTGATTTTTAAACTAAACTTTTACATTAGATAGTAAATGCTCTCTAGAATGAATAATCATTGTTATTTAATATCAGCATTTTGCAGATATAAAAAAAAAGAAAAAAATCTACCTCTTGTAATAATTTAATTAGTAGTTTTAGTTCTCCAAAAGTCAGCCATGATCTTCATAGATGCACTTTTGCACTTTAAATATTCCTACCTGTCATTTTTTTAACCTCTAATTTTACAAGTAAACTATAATTAGCTTAGTTGCACAATTTTGGATGTGCAGCCAGTACTCAAAAATGCATACACTTAGAGTTATGTATTTTATGGTGACAGAAATTCAGGAATAATTTTTGCCACTTTCAGGAGCATCAGAAAAAAATCTGAAATCATCCATCATACTGACTCACATACATAGTATTGTCTAGGAACTTCAAGTCCATACTTTTGTGGTTTTGACAACACTGAATTAAGTTACAGTAGCATCTATCACTTGAGGAATCTTGAGTCATTTAAACTTGTTTTCCATCAGAGCGTTCAATCAAGATTGGCTTATCAGTGGCAGGGGTATAGCAGAAGCTGTAACACTTTTCATCGCCTGCTTTATCAACTGTCTCTCAATAGCTGTAAGAGTCCATAAACCCCCATCAGTTTAAACTGTATTAGCACTGTACAGTAATGGCAAGAGAGCAATAAGAAGTGATGTTGTATTTCTTTGGGCACTAGTGAGCTATTTTTCTTGATTCTGGGAATCATCCAGGTCTATTAATGTAGGCTTTCAGCTCCTCTGAGAAAACTAGGAGCTAATGATGATCTTAACTGAACTGAAACTTTTAAAACTGTTTCTCATATTATCTAAAAATATTCATCACTGTATTTGTAATGTCCTGAGCCTCAGGCATAAAAACCACTGCAAGTGAGATGAGCTAATGAAATTTGACAGTGAATTTCTTATCTCCAAGAGAGAGAGAGAGAGCCATCAGTCCTTCCACGCTCTTGTTTCTTTCAACAGCCAAAAGCTCAGACTGGTGCACTTAGAACACAGTAAGGACAAATAACTATCTCAAAACACACACCATCTATTTGTGTGCTTTATTCTTAAATCATAAAATTAATGTTGATCAGCAGCATAATGACTTCCTGGATTTTATAGGCTAAAATGTAATATTTTCAGTAGCTATCATAGTAGTAGTCATACAGCATTCTAGCCTGAGAAATTACAGCTCACTCTTCATCCATAATTGAGTCTCTTATTATATTTCTAGGACTGGAAATCTCACTTTTGAATTAATTTCTGGAAAATTATGGAAGAAGTTACTTGTTTAAAAGCACCATGTTCCTTCGATGAGTGTTTTTGACTAGTTTTGTAAGCTCTTGTATGGAAAGTTAATTCTGTCATATATTATTCTGATCTAGAGCAAATATTTATATCTAGGAGTCTTAATTTCTCTAGTCATACTTTGGTAGACAGTGAAATTTATAAAGATTTGTGTGCTGCAGCTGGCTTCAGTCAGCTTATTTGACCAAAATAACCTGAAATACAATTCTTTTATCACATGGTCATCTATAATTATACTTCTGATTCCATCAGAAAGATTGTAATATTTTCAGTCTATCCAGTGCTCCATAGGCAAGGAAGTTGCCAAGAACTGTATATGGAGAAACCTTCATTCTTTAAAAGGAAAAACCTGTGGGGCTCCAAGTCCTGTGATTTTTAGCTGAAAAAGAAATAGGAGATTGCTGATTGGAAGGTGGGTAACTGTTTCAATACTTAGGAATGTTTTTAGGATAATTTTTTTCTTTATCTTGGTTAGCTCACTGGTTAGAGCCTGAGTCAGCCACAGCTTTGAGGCAGATGTACCTACACCTTGATTTTCAGTGATCTCCTCAAAGGGCTCTTAAAATTCAAACTCAGTTGTATTTGAATAGAAATTAGAGCCACAGCATTTTAAATAGAAAAAACCTCAAAGCAACTGGGAAAACCAAAAAGCGAAGGATAAGAAACATAGGTAGATCTCCCCATGCCCAGGGTGTCCTTCCAGGCAAGTCATTGACTGCTGGGGCTTCTCCAGCTCTCGGGAAGTGCCAACTGTGCATCCAGGTCTGGCTGTCCCCTCCCTGCCCCTCAGGGCTGTCCCTTGGATGCTGCAGTGAGCTGCTGCAGTAGGGTGCTGGGCTCCACTGAGGAAAGACGCTGTGAAGCTTGATCTGGAGCTGCAGTGCAAGAGTCGCTGGAGAGGTGGCAAGAGAGGGTGGTGGGAGCAAGAAGGCACAGAGCTCCCCTCCTACCCTCAGCTTAAGGCATAACAACTTTTAACCACAGTAAGAAGGAACTAATTTAGTACTTTTGGCCCAAAATGAAAGGCTCAGAACCCTGGTTTATTTAAATTTAAAAAAAAAGTCTCTTATTTAGCTTGGTTGAGACACAGAGCAGAAAGGAGATGAGGAACTTGTGGGTGGTGTTTTACTTCTCTACTGACTTTTCTTCAAAAATTAGGCCTTGGGCTTCAAGGCCTGGGGCTTTTCAGACCAGCCTGAAAATTGGAGATTCACCAAGTCCACAGTCATGTCCTTTCCTAAAGGAATTAAATTGTTCACACTTGGAAAATAAAGAGCTAACCCTCTAAAGATGCTGCAGAGAATCTGAATTTTTTCGAGCATCAGTTGGAGCTTGAGGTACTCTGCAACTCTGTAGAACCATGCAAGAACTTTGCAACCATGTAGAAAATCCACCCTTTGTGCTGAGGTCCAGTACAAAGCCTATACATAATTTAAATTTCAAAATCATGACTCCATAGGAATTAAGTGATGGATAGGCTTGGTGTTTTGTGGGTTTCACGCTCTGCTTTGTAGGTTAATATTGGTGGTGTTTGTATTTTAATGTGGTGTAGGCTTTAGCTGGAATTCAGGCCTTTCTATTTCACTATTCAGCAATGGCTTGATGTCTGTATTCTGAAAATATTTTAGGTTGGTTTGCTTTTCCTTGCTAGAAATATTAAACAAGTCTTTTGGTTATACCTACAAATCCATTGTATTTTCTTCAGACATCATCTAGAATGATTGCAGAGAATATAGACTATGGGAGTAATTGACTAATAGAATAAATGTGTCACATGAACCAATAGTGTTATTATCAGTATATATGTGGGGGGACTTGGTTGCTATTAGTGCCATGAACATTTTGTTATAGAATATCGGGACTGCTTCTGTAAATTGCTCTAAAGCAGTGTGTAGCAGCTTTGATGCATTAACTGAAGAGACTTGCTGCAATCCTTACCTTATTGAGACAGGCAGAGAGAAGGGAAGGGTTATGTGTGTTGAGCTGTAGAATTTCTACCCTCTGTTAACAGGCATGTAAGAATAGAGGGAAAATAAGAAAAGATAAGTTTCTATGCAAAATGCAGTCAATTTCAGAGCAATGCAGTACTAATAGAAACTTCACATGCTTAAGACCTATTAGAAAATATGCAGCTTTAGCTTTCAATGAGAGCTCAGTTGATTCCAGAACAAATCTTGTTATTCTTTCACAAGCTATCTATGTTAGTGTTAAATGCAAATGGCAAAGTATGGAAGTAATGTGTGTGTCCTCATTAAGCAGCTATTCAAAGGGGGGCAGAGTTGGTGTGTGAACTTAGAACTTGGTTACAGTGAAAACAGTAACAGTCCATGGTGGTTTGTGGGTTTGACATGTGTGCTGTTCTTGCTTTTTCAATCTTAAGATTCCTCATCCACCTTTAAGCATTTAAATACATTTGACTGGATTCTTAGAGCGGTATACCTTCATCTCACTTTGAATCAATGTGAGGTTTTTAAGACCTTGTTTTATTTTTCCTCATGCTTTTATAGAAACTCTAAAATGCACTCAAGTGAAGAAGCTTGGCAAAATCACAAGGCTGTGACAGACATCATAAACTTTGCTATGGCACAGCAGTAATGAGTCTCTAAATGAAGTGTATCTGTTTTTTCTTTTTTTAGATACACGCTTGAAACATTTGGAGCGATAACTTTGTATGGCAATCGTTACCATCACAGAGAAAGCATGGTCCTGCCTGCAGGCCTGTTCTGAGAGTGCTATAAAGCAGCCTTTGCAGATGTGTTCCTCTAGTGAAATCTCGGCTGCTGGAGCCTATGGCATGCTGAAGGATTAACACACCTCATGCTAGAGATTAAAAGTAGTGGCAGCCTCTTTTCTTTACCATCTGAGGTACTCTGTAACTGATGCAGTGGGGACTTACCAGTGGAAAGATACCCAATAAAGTACAAAAGAGAGGAGGGAAAGCAATTAGATTAGACAGACATGGAAAGTGCTTTGAAACAGGATTTAGTGTCAGAATTAAACAGGCCTGAATGTTTTAATCACTTGGCCACCCTCTGCACGTCACTGAGTCTCCAGCATAGAGCAGCTGTGATTGTGTGGGTCCTTATGAATGTTGCACTGCATTGATTTTGTGTTGTGAATAGTGTTTTTATGTTCTGGGGAGGACATGGAAATGAACTAGTAATCAAAGCTAAATGTTTTAACTTCATGAAAAATAAGAGTGGGAAAACCTGCAGGTTGCTCTTTAGTACATTTTATTATGCCACTGTGTATATGCTAGGAACCAAGCACTAGCTTCAGAGTTCTTTGATATGAGAATGCCTGCCTTCAGAAGTTTGGCGTTGTCATGGCTGATAAAGAAGGAGAAATTCAAGTGACAGAAATTTCCATATGCCTGGAGGAACAAGTAAAAATGATACACAGCAGCTACCAGCCCAGGCATTTAAAGAGAATTAAATGTCTCCCAATGTGAAGATGAGGCTTTATTGTCTGGCTCCACTTCTAAAGAGACGGTAAAGAAGTATTTTTTAGTTTCTGTTAGGATATAATGAAAAACCCACTTAGCAATGTGACACTTGGAGGTTTAGGAGTAATTCTGACCTGTTTCTTGCTTCAAAATCCCATCTGGTGCTAGGTTAATGGTTGATCTTTTCCAACCTAAATGATTCTGTGATTCTATGCATCCATGAGTTCAAAGTTTAGATACAAGCTGAAGATTTCCCCCTGTTTTAACTTGGTTTCATAAGGTGCTGTTGATCTCAGTGAGGGAAAATTGGATTTTTTTAAGAATTGCTTTACTCTGATTTAAATAGAGTACAAGTAGAAAAATAGAATAGGACTCAGGAGTCTAAGGAGAAATTAGATCCTGAAAGGCAGAAACCCCCACTGTTATAAAATTTTTTGTAGTGAGACTCTTTTTTTGGTGTTCTCTTTGAAGGCCCTCAAACTATACATCTTTTCTTCAAGGCATGAATGAATCTTGCTTCCTCAGTGAATGAATGTGCTCCTGAAGCCAGCATGATAGACCAAAGCCTTAAGGGAGAAATCATCCTTTGTGCTAGTCTCTGAGTGGTGGGGGGGTATGAAAAGCAACAGAGAAAATGTTGCAGATAGGAGCCATGTTGTATATTTCAACAGAATTGTGATTTTTAGGGAGGATACTAATGAGTGCCAGAGATGACAGCTGTGAGTTAGTTTCTCTTTACTCTGTCTAAAGGAAATAGTAGGTTTTCCACAGCCATTGAAATCTTCTTTTCAATGTTTACTTGCTGCTGCTTCTTAAAAAAAGAATGGGTATGTTATTATTCTTATCCAGGTATTAAAGGCTTGGGAGCTAAGACTCTTGTATTATTAGATCATAATTTCTGGGAGAAAATGAGATGCAGATAGTGTTATCAGGCATTTTTTATACAATTCAAGCATCTTACATTGGTTATTAGCTTTATCCAAGCATTGTATCATTCTGTGTTGCTACTGACATTTCACTAATTAAAACAAGTAATTTAAGATTTGTTTCTACTTTTCTGTTCAGAGAGAGATGAGTTGTTCTCTTCCATTCATCCAAGGCAAAAAGAGCATTTTATTGATCTTATGCTTTGCTTTCTCATGTTTATTTTTCATTTCACCTGTTTTCTGTGATAATGGTTAGTGTGTCACAACCTACAGTAGTGAGAGAAGGGGAGCATACCAAATCTTCTGTGCCACTGCTTATCATTCATGTCTGTAATGGACATATCTCTAGGTATGGCAGGAGAGCTTAATGCGGGCATGAAGAGTCTTAGGAAAAGTTATACCTTATAAATTGGATCATCTTTTCTTCAGGTGTGAGCATTTTTCATGGGCAGTTGAATTAGTTCTGCTAAAACATCTAACATATGCTACTCTGTGCACTGATGAAATAAGAATAAAAGAAGATTCGTACCTTTCTTTGTCACATCACCTGTAAAATGTTTAAGTTCTGACTGGAAGAGGATTGATTTCAGAATGAGTATTTTTACATAATTAAAAATACCAAATATGTGCAAAAATCAGAGACAAGCAATATGTATGTACTTCATATCGTTTATGTAGTCAGTGTTTCAAAAGATGGTACCATTGACAGTACTACTTGCACTTGGTCTCCCACAGAGTAGTTTTCTCCTTTTTTTACGTTCTGTTGTTGTCCAAAAGACAATTTTTTACTGAAAGGCTCTTTCAAGTTACAGAGATTATGCTGATCTGACCTTTACTTACAAAGCAGGTAGTGGCAGGATGTAGGATCAATAGCGTAGGCAGCATTTGCATCATAGTCTCAGGTGTAATCTCCATCGAGTGTGTTTGTTTCCCATGGTTTTGTTTCAGAGTAGAATGAGTAATGTGAAAGTGGAGGTAGCAGTTGTAAAGTTTTACTTGCTACTTACCCAACAGTCTCCCATCAAAACACGGGGTTTAGCACAATAAAGTTTGTTCTTTTACTCTGTGTCAGGCTGTTTGTCAGCGAGGTATGTTAGCCAAATATAACTACCCAGCCTCCTCTGCTTTCCAGTGTCTGTTTGGTTGAATCACGCCATGAATGACACCATGACACATTTGTGGGAGGATTGTTTGTGAGAAAAAGGGAAACAAATTTGACACTTGAGTTTACCAAGTTGTGGGAGCACAGATGCTTATTACTGCCAAATATGCAGAACCGAGGTCAGGGGAATGTGTCAGAGAAAGCAAAGCAGCCTTGAAGCAATTTTTTTAAAACTGTCTGGCAGAGAACACGCATGAAATACTGTTATAGCTGAGCAGGATGCTGCTCTCCTTCCTCTATTCCCTTAGGATTGCCTAGTCCCTTTCCTCATTCCAGGCTCAAATGAGACCTCGCAGCGTGTGCTCCTCTCCCATCTTCCCCTCTTCTTCATGGGTTCCCTTAGGGACCTCAGCCCCTCTTTACTGAGGACTAGTGACAGCGACAGCAGCAGTGGGAAGATGTCCCTTTAGGATGTCCTTGCATTCTTTTTGCTTGCTTCTCTACCAGGCCGACACTTTCACATTTCATGCTTCTGCATGGGAAGGTGTAGATGTGGAGCAGGTCTGATCAACCTGAGTGTACAGACATATGGGGAACCTGGGAAAACTCTTAAGGGTAATTTCAAAAATCCTGTGTTGTATAGGGTGCAGGAGATCCTGTGACAAAAATTGGAAAAGAAGAATTGTTTGGACTCAGTTGGTCTGTGTGGTTAGATAATAAATTCTACAAAGAAGAGTAAAAGAGATATGTGGGGAGAGAGAATGCAGAAGAGAATAGGAGAATGGAGGATACTGGAGACTGAAAATAAGAAAAACAGATTAAAGCAGGAAGCCAAACCAGAAAATACTTTTCTAAGAACCAGGGGACAGGAAGGGGAAAGTTCCCACCAAACAGAACAGTTTGAGCAGTGAGAAAGATGAAAGAAAATAAAAATACATTTGCATAGTAGATGAATAGTTTATACAATGAAATGTAAGTTCATGTGGACGGTGAAACTTGATCCATTCTCTTATTTTTCTCTGTGGCAGCTAAGTCCTGGAAGATCTGTGTTTCCTGCTGTGTCTGAATGATACTCCTGGGTCTTTCTTTTAAGGAAGATGCTCAAACGAAGCAGCGCTGTATTTGGGTTGACTTAAACAATCATTTATCCTTCGTGAAATGAGAAATGCAAAATTAATGGCAGGGATGTACCATCTGCTGTGGTTTAACATGTGAATAAAAGCTCGTGTGTTGGGACAATGTGTAAGCCCATGGTAAGCACGGAAATAAAGGAAACGTTATGTTGGCTATACCCAGCAGATCCTCTCATTGACTGAAGCATCGTGTTTCTCCCCATGTCCTAGCAATGTTGAACATGATTTCTTGAGGACAATGAGTGTTTCCTCCTTGGTGAGGAGGCTGAGTGTTTCATGTCTATTTTTCTCATTCCTTTCAGGGATCTCTTGCTGTCTGTGGCACTTGGCCAGGTACTCTCCCTCCTTATCTGTGGCATTGGTCTCACAAGCAAGTATTTGTCAGAAGATTTCCATGCCAACACACCTGTTTTTCAGAGCTTCCTCAATTATATCCTTCTATTCTTGGTCTACACAACAACACTAGCCGTCAGACAAGGTAAGTGTCTCTCTGAAATTGTTTTGTAGAAAACAGCAAGGATAAAGACTTTTTCAGAACAACAATAAGCAATATGATTTAGACACAAACCCCATTAATATTTGTTACATATTTACATTACCTAGTGACACGTATTGGATGAATTGAAAAAAAAACCAACAAATCTTCATTAGCAAAGAATGACTCGGTAGATGGCAAGGATCAGGGTGCTACCTAAAAGCTAAAAGAAACATCAGTACTTTTGAATTCCTAATTGTTCTTATGGAAATGCTCCTCTTACACCACAACCATATGCTTGGGGTTCATTTTGGATTTGACGGCACGCCTTGCTGGGAAATATTGGTATGCTTTACATCTTACACACACTAAGGAGAGCTCAGATGCAATCAAAGAGCTTGCTAGTTCAAGTTGCCAATCACCGCAATTCAGTAGTTCACTATTAGAAAGAAATAGCAGCCAATTTTTAGCTATTGAGACGTAGGAGATGAAGGGAGGGAATTCAGGATGATATCTCTCTGGGGTGCTGTGTGGGCAGAGCAGCTCTACAGTCCTGCCACTGCTTTGCCACAGAGCCTGTGTAACCAATCTGACCTCTAAAATCAGAAATGCATTATGGTTTGCCTTGGTACTGCTATCTAATGATCCTCTGTTTGAAAGTCTATATATAATATTGGGGGTTGTGCCTTTCCTGCTCATCCCTTCGATCTTTGAGATTCAATATGTAGATGAGGTGTAGGAGGTGAATGCATTTAAGTACATTTCTCGCCCACTCTTTTTTTTTCTTTTGTAATCATGTTATTTATTCACCTTCACAGAACACATAGATTAGAAGCAAAATAAAAGAACAAAAATGTCATGTGTTCTCCTGACATAAGGAGGGAAGGGCTCTATGGAAGAAAAGAACTACAAAGTGTATTAGGCTGTGGTAGCTTTATCAGCATACTGAAAAGTTCACGTTTTCTTACAGGAACAATTATTTTTCGATCGTTCTTTGATGTTACATCTTTTTGATGCTTTGGGAACAATCCTGAAACTTAAGTTCTTCACTCATAGTACAGTCTTGTGATACAATGCTATAAAGGGTTCCAAACCAGGAAAGACTTAATATCCATGCAAAAAATAAACAGTCAAAAATATACTGCTGTACTCCAGCATGAAGCATTTAAACGTGTTACAACTTAAGTTTTATAAACATTGGTCTCCATTGACATTTTTCAGAGGCAATGAAGTCCAATCTGCAGAGGAAATCTTGGCTCTTATATAAGGAGAGATTGCTCAGGCAGTGTTTCACTGTCTTGGTATTTCAGTTTGTGTAGGGGGAAACATCACCACATACTTTGCTCTGCAAAGGGTTTAAAATGTGTTATTAGTAGCATCTTTATGGAGATCTGTGTTTAAAAATAATTCTTCTGAGTGTAGGATTGCCTAGATGTTCATAAGTTCTGTCCCAGAAATGTCCTTCCTGGGACTGATTTAGATACTGTGGAAGGCAAGTCCGTATGACTTTTAAATAGATTTTACTTTTTTTGAAAATTCTGGCTTGTGAGAGGGTTTATTCATATATATACTGCATTCTGCTGGGCATTACAGAATAATGTTTCATACCTGGTATATATTGGCATTTAAAAAATGCTATCGAACGCTCTCTGCTTTACACATATAAAAATATGTATTAAAATGGTACTTTATAAATAATTTTCTGACTGTTGAAAAATATAGTGGTGGGCTAAAGAGAGTTTGTCAGAGCTATCTGTTGTGCCGATAAGACAGGTTTTGGAACTAGATGGAAAAGTGTTAAGGATATGTGGAAAATATTTTCTGGACAAGTGAGAAGGGTTGGAGAAGATGTTTGAACAGGCCTGGGGTTGAACACAGACCATATGAGCAACCGGAGTACACACAGAGTGTACCAATGGAATAGTGTGGATATGCAACTGTCAAAAAAAAACCCCAACCCCAAAAAAGACTGTTTGGTCCAAAAAAAATCCAGAACAAAATTGGCTACAGAAGTCATGAAAGCAGTGATGCAGGCACTCAGCGTAACATTCCTGCAGGATGGTACAGTACTACACAGTCAACTTATTTACTTGGCATTTAATATTGCCAAGTGATTGAGCCTGACATTGTCTTTTTGCTTGTATATTTATTCAAATTCATTATCTGTGTTTGTTCCACTAAGACAGTTTTTCTAGCAGCTCTAATCATTTGTCCATTAACAGATGGATATCACACTGGTATTAATTTTATATGGAATGATTCTGTTCTGAGTGCTGAGAACATCCAAAGGCTTTTTTTTTTCAAAAGGGATTCTTCTACTCCATATGCAAGATTGAAGATTCTTTTGACTGTCCTCTTTCTCCTTCAGAAACCAAACCATCATAAGTTCATTGGTAGTAAAAAAACAACTGTATCCCTTTGTCTTTTTCTTTGCTTGCTTTCTTAATCTCTGGGGTTTTTGCTGAATGGGCTGTTTAAGGAGGTGTCACTCGAGATAGCCAAAAAAACCCTTAGTTCACTGTAGGACTGAAAGCTGTAATTTCCTGAGACATAAAGAATTCTTATTTCTTTAGAGACTTCTTCCAAATTTTGATTTACTGTGGATGCCCTTTGACTTAACTGTCCCTTGATGTTCATATCACCCCATATATATTCCCTGAGTGATAATGAAAAGGTAGAATTTGCACTGGTCTGTGAAAATCATCATTAGCAGATGATTAAAGCCTCCTGATTCCTGAGCTTTTTGGACTAAAGCCTTCTGCAATGAATGCTCAACTTCTAGTAGCTAAAGTTAGCCCATGGGAACCAGCAGCTTGCACTACATTTTTGCTTTTCAGGTTGAGACTTTTTTTTCCAAAATAATTTTAGCACAGCGCTTTAATGGATGCAAAGGTTAGGACTAGCACCTTGCAATGCATCCATGTAGCATCAGATAGTGTAGGAGATGCTCAGCCCTGCAGGTGTCAGAATTTCTTGAGTATTTTAAACTTCATTCCATGTTAAGAAAAGAAAAAAAAAAGGAAGAGCTTGTGCTGTAGCTCTTGATGAGGAACCAGTTTGAAGGTAGACTCAGTAGTTTTAAGCAGTGAATTCCGTGTAAGTAGGGCTTTTCATCATTATTGCAATTTTGCTCTCATGACCAGAAATAAAAAGTGACAAAAGCGTTGAAGGAGATCTGTTCTTGTGAGATTTTCATATGAGTCTTAAAACATGGATACTACTCAGGCAGAGATCATGAAAACGTTAAAGAATTTGTCTAAACTGGAATTTTTCTGATACAAAATCCAACCACTGTTTCTATCAATTGTACTTCAAAGTTCAACCATGTATCTGGAATTTCAAAATCTTTCTCTTTTATCCCAGATATTTTAATGCTTTTTTAAAATTTATTTTGTTTTTAATTTTTTTTTTCTGTTATATGTAATTTTAAGTAGAACTTATGATTACCTTAAAGAGGTTTGTGTGAAGGTTCTTCACAGTTTGGAATGCACAGAATCAGCCATACAAAGGTGCCAGCAGCCACATACCTACAAAGAGGTATCCACTAGAGCACCCAGTCCAACGCTCATTAATGCACCAGTGCTGAGATCTGAATATTATTCTTTAGGAGTTTTCTTTGTATGAGAATGATGCTGTAAAATTAATGTCACTAATGGAACATTATAAGGCAGTGGATGTTGTTATGTTTTATCTGGCTGATATGCCAAACATTTAATAGGTAATAAGGAACTCCTCAGTTCCTTCTGTTGAGGTCTCTTCTCGTGCCTATTGTTTTCACAACCAAAACTTGTATTTGTCTGTGGTAACACCTCCCAGCTGAGAAGAAGGTTTTAACACATATCGTCTCACCTCAGTCTCCTTGTTAGCAGAGGATTCTGCTGAGTAAAATCTTATCAGGATACTTCCATATACTCCTTTGGACTGGGTGTTATTATTAGTCGAGGAAAAGAAAAGCCTTGGCTATCAGTCATAAAAGCCTCCTATCTATGAAATGGAGCTGTGGGACATAGAGCTGGTGGAGATTTTTTTTTTAGCACCTTAAAAAGCATTAAGTAGGAAATTTTCCATAGTAATCCAGAAGGTATTAATTGCTAACAGTCAACATAGGTGCAATCATCAGCTACAAATGAAAACAACACATCTACTAGACAACATTTTAAAAAGAAAAAACATGAAACAGATATTTTTTTTTATTTTCTGGAAAACAAGAAATGAGGGAGCCATGGAGATGTCTTCTGCACAGAAGGGAACCATAAAGTCTTAAGGACAGGATTCTGTGCAAGTAGGGCTCCACATTGCAAGCTGTTTCTTTAATTTTAGTGCAACAAGTTACTGAGTATTTTCATCCCATCATTAGTGAGAGATGGCAATAGTTTGCTAGTTCAGAAATGTTTTTATGAATCTCTATATCTGGATGAACTCTGTTTCTAGGCCAAGTGATGAGGTTACAGCATATGTCAATGGAAATATGGTTTTCCCTAGAGTAACTGTAATGTCTTAGATTTGACATATGATCAAATGTGATATGTGCCCCTGAGTCAGCTAGAGTCCTGTGAGACTATTATGATTGCAGACCTGTTACTGACATATCATATTTATGCATTTCTATCTCAGATTGGTTTATGACAGTAGTATCTCAGCCATTTGTAGATGTCGATACAGGGCTTTGCCAAAGTGGGTAAGGCCTTCAAGCCTGCGCAATGGATTTTTTAGGTGAGACACAGTATGCTCTGAACTGAACCCACCCTTTAATCCTAAGGCTCATCTGCCAGGGCCGAGCGAACTTGGACGGTGACAGTGAGGTCCTCAGGACGTGGGTTTAATTAGAGTGACCTTCTCTTAGATGGATGGCCTTACAGGGCTGAAGAAGCTCCATCTGCCCGAGTTTAGAGTTGTCCTTCTCTTCTGTTCTTTGTTTGCAAGGCCCAGCCATGATGATGATCTCAGCCATATGTTAATTCTTGATTTATCTGCTATTCAAGTGTGTATCTCCATACACACTT